AATTTTATCTTTCTGAAGTTAGGAGAAATAATAAAAGAAACTTCTATTATGGCTCTACTTTTCACCAACAAGGATGCACTGGTTTCCAATGTGGAAATAATGGGATCTTTGAGGGAAAGTGAGTATTCTTTCCTAGAGTCTGTGATCAACAAAGAAGGAGAAACCAGATATAAACTGATCCGCCACTTAAATTTGGTCGGCGAGCTTAACTTCAGCAAGGGAAGTCAAGCCAGAAAGCATGTGAAGCTCTCAAGATTTAAATTTAGACGACAGAATGAAAAATGTGCTCCAGTGAGTTTTCTAAAAGACTAATGAAATGACGCGGGGACCTCATCAGCCGACTTATGTTTTAAAAAGGCAGAAGACGGAAACAAGAGCGTCTAACAGAGAAGGAAAATGAAAGCTGGACCGTGGACCTACAAAGAGATGGTCAGAAGGACCAAATAAAAAATGAGATGAGGCTAGGGGGCAATCTAGGAATACCAACAAAGGTTGGACTTGGTGGGTGGGGCAATATTGGAAAAAGAAAGGATCCAGAGCCAAAGGAAACTGTTGTTTGGGGCGTCTAGGATGGTGATAATCATCAAAAAGAGGAGGCAGAGCTAGTCAGTCAGTCAGTCTGGGTGACAGATAGTATGCTGAGCATGGGATTCCAAGAAAGGTAAAAGGTCGCGCTTGCTTTCAAGGAAGCCACGGACACCAGGAGGCAGGGATGAGGAGGGCGAGCATTCCAGGCGTGGGGAACAGTCATCAAGGAGGGAGACCTGAAGGCAGGAGGTGGAGCATGGTGTTCAAGGAAAATCAAGACTAGTGTCATTGGGTGGAATGGCACTTGGGGAGGAGGCTGGGTATAAGATGTAGAAAGACTGGAAAGGGGGAACAGGTTGTGAAGAGCCTCAAATGCCAAACAGGATTTCATATTTGGCCCCAGTGGTGATGGGGAACCAATGGAGTTTATTGAGTGGTGGTTATGGTGGTGGGCAGATATGGCTGGACTCACTTTAAGAAGGTCATTTTGGCAGCTGGGTGAGGGATGGGCTGGAGGGAGGAGAGATTGGTGACAGGGAGATGAATCAGTAAGCTACTGTAATAATCCATGTGTGGGGTGATGAGGGTCTGTACCAGGTTGGGTGCCAGGAAGGAGGACCTATGTGAGAGGTGTTTTGAAAGTTAAAATCAAGAGAACTTGGCAACAGATTGAGTATGGGGGTGGGATGAAAGAGAGTAAGGAGTTGAGGAAAATCTAGGTTTTGTTCCCCAGTGACCAGGGTGAGGATGGTGATACCCTCAACAGTAATAGGGGAGTTCAGAATAGGAGAAGGTTTGGAATGAAAGATAATGAGTTCAAATCCGGACATGTTGAATTTAAGATATCTATAGGACGTCCAGTCTAGGTGTCAAATAGACTTTTGGAAATGTGATGCTGGAGATCAGCAGAGAGGTTAGGGCTGGAAAAGTCTATCTGGGAGTCATCGGCACAGAGATGACAACTGAATCCATGGAAGCTGATGAGATCTCCAAGTGAAAGGTTTTAGAGGGAGAAAATAAGGGGCCCAGGGCACAGCCTGGTGGGACACCTATGGTTAGCAAATGTGACCTAGATGAAGAGCCACCAGGTCACCTTCTTCAATTCTTCAAATACTTAGAAACAGCTATCCATATTGTCTCAATTACTCTTAGAATGTTAGAGCTAGAAGAGAATTTAGAAATGTTGACTATCAAAGAGGAAAGGAAATTTAGAAGTCATCTAAAGTCATTTCCCTAACTTTACACATGAGGAACGGAGGCATAGAACATTAAAGGAACTTACCCAAAGTCTTGTAACCAGTTAGTGGCAGAATGGGCGTAGGCTATTCCAAGTGTTTGGCATTGCAGTTCACTGAGTTTCACTGCAACATAGTCAGTCAGTCAATAAGCAGGCACTGTGCAAAGTGCCAAAGATACAAAGAAAGGCAAAAACACAATTTCTGCTCTCAAGGAGCTCACATTCTGATGCAACAGCATAAGGGTAACTGTACATATAAGATACATGCAGTGTAGATAGATGGTGATCTCCAAGAGGAGGCAGTAGCAGTGTTAGGGGTGGGTCAGGGAACCAAGAAAGATCTGAAGAAGGCAAGATGTGAACTGAGTACTCTGGGAGGATAGTGGACCCTTCAATAGTAATAGGAAAGTTCAGAAGAAGGGAGGATTTTTATGAGGGGAAAGTTAATGAGCTCAATTTTGAACATATTAAGTTTCAGATGTATGTGGGATCTCCAGTTTGAGATGTCCAAGCGGTGTTGGGTATATTGGAGCTCAAGAAAGAGGCTATGGCTGCAGATGGAGATCTGGGAATTGTCTGCATAGGGATGATAGCTGAACCCGTAGAAGTTGGTGAGATCACAAGCAAAATAATATAGAACAGAGAGGTTAAACACGTGACCCATGCAGATCATACACTCCAGAATGTGACCTGGACCAGATTAAAATGCAATTGGGAAATATTTAATAAAATAGATAAAATAAAAAAAACACATGGATAATCTTACATTTTAAAGCTAAGTCAATACCTGGCCCACAGGAATCCTTATTTATGGATTAGTTTCCATTTGAGTTTGACACCACTGGTATAGAGGAAATCAGTCAATTAATAATCATTTATTAATCTCTTTCTGTGTGCCAGGCATTACCTAAGAGCTGTGGGTACAAAGAAAGGCAAAAAAGAAACAGTCCCTGTCCTCAAAGAGCTTACAATCTAATGGAAGAGAAAATATGCAAACAAACATGTACAAACCAATTATAGATGGGATAAATAGGAAATAATCAATTTGGGGAAGGCACTAGAAATAAGAGGGCTTGGGAAAGACTTCCTGTAGAAGGTGAGATTTTAGCTGGAATTTGAAAGAATCTAGGAAAATCAGGAGGTAGAATAGAGGGACTTGTACAGAGCCTTAGGGGACAAGTGTAGTTAGTAGGTGTGACCTGGAGGAAGAATAAGCAAAGAAGCTGAGAAGGATCCATTAGGTAGGGAGTCAGGGGACAGCAGTATCACAATAACCTAGAGAGAAAAGAGTATCAAGGAGAAGAGGGTCATGACAGTGTTAAAGGTTGCATAGAGGTCAAGGAGAATGAGGATTGAGAAAAGGTCATTGGATTTGACAATTAAGAGATCACCAATAGGTGATCCATCAGCTTTGGACAGAGTGGTTTCTTGTTAAATGGTGATAAGCCAGATTGCAAGTGAGAGGTTCAGAAGAGGAGGCGCTCATTGTAGACGGCTTCCCAAGTAGTTTACCTAATAAGGGGAAGAGGGCTAAAGGACAATAGCTAGTGGGTGTGGCTCCATCAAGTGATGTTTTTAAGGGTTGGGGATACATGAGGGTGTCCACAGTCATCCTGTAGGTGGGGAGAGATTGAAGAGAAGAGACTGATTGATAGAGGGAGAAGAACACAAAGATGGGATGGGATGGGGTCAAGGGCTCATGTAGAGGGTCTTGCTTTGGCAAACAGAAGAGTCAACTCTCAAGTAAAATAAGAGTGAAAGAATAAATAGTAGGGAAAGACATCTGAGTGATGTGAGATGAAGAGGGGTGTAGCAGAGGGAGCTCTCAGGGAGTGATCTCAATTTTTGAGTGTAGTATGAGTCAAGGTCTTCAGCTGAGTTGGGGGAGAGTTGTCATGGGAGGCTCAGGGAGGGATGAGGAAGTTTGGAATAGATGCTGAGAACTGGAGAGCAAAGGGGTTGACTTGCTGCCGTGAAGGCCTAGTTAAGTTTGTGTAACATAAACTTGTGGTGTGCCTCAATGATTATTCTCCAGCTCCTTTCAGTAGCTGTAAATAGGAGTGAAGGCAGCAGATGGTGGGAATAATGCAAGGTGGGGGTTTGGTAAGCATGTGATCAGTGATGGGACAAGAGGACAAGGGATTCTGTGTTAGAGGATACTGTAGGGTTGAATTGTCTCGCCAAGGAGATGGGGTGAGGAAGGCAGGAGAGAACTGGAGTCATGGTCTAGGAAAGAGAGGTGGAGGGTTTGGAGGACAAGGAATAGAGTTGAGATGGTAAGGAAAAGGGAAAGACAAAAGGATAAAAGATTAAGATCAGGCAGTGTTCATGAACATAGAAGTGTAACACTTGTGGATAAGGACAAGATCAAGTTTATGACCATTTCTGTGTGTGGTTGAGGTGAGGGAGAGAAATTGGTCATGAGGACTGAATAGAATGAGGAACCTGGGAGTTAGGATCTCTAAGTGATAGCAAGAGAGAGTGTCCCAAAAGTCTGAGTGCAGTTTAAAGTTCTAAAACTTAACACTGTACAAATGTTGAAGTCCTTCTGTGTGAGGGCAGGAGGTGAGGTGAACAGAAAGACTGAACTCATTGAAGAAGGAAGGAAGGAAGGAAAGAAGATAAGAAGGAAGGGAGGGAGGAAAGGGAGGAAGGAAGGGCAGGAAACAAGGAAGGAAGGAGAATGTCTTAGAGGTCAGTATATGATAGCCACCAGGATCTGGGTTGTGTGACTCAGTCACCTTGAGGCCTTCTAATCCAGTGATCTCAAACTCATATAGAAACAGGAATCACTAAACTGTATGTAAAGATCCATAACGGTGCATATTGACTTAGAAAACCAGATATTTACCTTATCTGTGTTTTATTTCTTTTGTTAAATATTTCCCAATTACATTCTAATAAAGAGTGTTGTGGGCCATGTGCCCAAGGGGCCATATCGTTACCCTTCTCCTGTTGACCACCCCTGTATATTGGTCATCCACCCGCTGACCAAAGTCTACTGGTCATCTCCTGGCAATGAGCTTGCCTCCTAATTGAGGCATCCTTGATCCTGAGGTAGAAGGTACCTCGGAGGCCATCTAGTCTAACTCCCTCATTTACAGATAGGGAAACTGAGGCCTAGAGAGATTATGTGACTTGGCTAAGGTCACATAAGTAGAAAGAGAGATAAGATTGGAACCCAGGACCTCTGACTACAAATTTAATTTAGCTTGTTTTTTTCTTTCCAATGTAGCATGTTGCTTCTTTGACCTGAAGGTCCAGGGTAGCCTGGAACCAATCTAAGCTTCTCTGACTCCTTGGAATCAGGACTTACCCAGAGGCAGTTCGGGTACAGGGAAGCCACATTAGAGTAAGAGAAAGTGAAGAAACAGAAGGTAAGTCTAGTTTCCTCTGTCCCTCTTTGTTCATCTTTCCCTTCTTCAGGGTAGGAAAGAGTGATGACCAAAATCTCACTTTCCTTCACTCACATCCTTCCCCCATATTTTCATGACATGCTTTGTGAATTCAAGTCACCATGCCATTAAAATGGGGTCTAGAAAAGAAGGATGCTATAATCTCAGCCTGACTCAGAGCCCTGAGGTTCCAGGCTCTAAGAGAAGAGACTGGATCTAGGAAGTCAAGGGAAGAGGCCAGGTATAGTGAAAACCAACTTAGGGAAAAGAGGGGAAGTGCCATCTTATCTTGTACATGTCTTGAAGGAAATGCCACATCTATGAAGAATGCAGAGAGAAACTTCATGATCAGCATTTGAAATGTAAATTTGGGGGTCACAAACCAAACAATTACCACTAAAAACAAACAATCTTCAAGGCAGTGCGTGAAAGGCAAGCAGTGAGTTTATCCATTTGTGTGAATAGGACTCAGGGAGACAGGGTGGGAGTGTCAGTCACCTAGGGCGAGCAAGGTTTATATGTCCCCACAACTTGATGGCCCTAATCCAGGGAGCAGATTTTTAGGTCAGGGAAACAATGTTAGGGAGTGTTTTGTGAGTATTCAGACCTTCCATTTTCCTCCTACTCCCAACTTGGATCAGCATTCTCGGGACAGGACCTCAAGAGTCTGTGGCCCCTTCTCATTCCTCTTGAGAACACTGCCCAAGGGCTGAGCTGTCCTGATTGGTGAGTGAGTGAGTACAACTCACTGTGGCCCTAGACCATGTCCCACAATCCACTAGCCCCATCCTCAGAATCTTGACATCCTCCGTGCTGCCACATGTAACACCTCTTCCTCAACTGACATTCCCCATCTTGATCTGGGAATAGCCTCAAATCAACACTACCATTATGTTGGGAAGGGACAAGGCAATTGACTGTCCCCTGGCTCTGCTTGCCATCCCTGCAATGAAGCAGTGAAACATGCCTCTTTGGACTCTGGAGGCAGAGGGCCTGAGTTCAAAACCTACCTCTGACACTTCACCTGTGTCTCTTTGGACAAGTCACTTAACCTCTTTTCTTATCTGTATGATGAGGGGGTTGTTCTAGATCAGGCTTCTTAAACTTCCCGCTCATGACCCTGTTGGCACTTCTTAAACTGTAAAATGAGCATATTGGACTAGATCTCAGAAGCCCCCTCCAAGACCTGTAATTCTATTAATAATTAAGCACTTTTAAGTGAGAATTGATTGTGACAAGAGAGAACTCCACTAAGAGGGTCTGGTGTGTCACCACTATTCTGACCTTTGTCAATTTACTGAATTGGGAACCAACCCTGTGATAGATTTCTGCCTCTTTTAGCCACCCCTCTTGGCCATATGGAGACCTGATGCTCCCTGGGGCTGTCCCCGATCCCGAAGCACATCCTTTAATACCTTTGATGTGTTCCTGTCCACCGAGGTGTGGCTGCCGTGGAGTTGAGTGACCCAGTCGGGGAGGGAAGAAGGCATCCCCAGAAGCCAACTCGTCAACCTGTAGTTTGGTAGCACTCTGCAGGAACCATTCAGTTCAACCAATGGGGACCCTGGCGTCAGAGACTTAGAACTGGAAGGGATGGGAAGGGTCAGGTAGTCCATTACCCTCATTCAGCAAATGAGGAAACTGAAGCCCTGAGTGACTGAATGAGTTGCAAAGTCCGTATATTTCTAAACAACGTATCTATTGAATAAACACATTTATAGTTTATCTTCTGGTAATACCAAAATGGAAATTTAATTACCTCCTGAGCCTCTACTTATTTTGATTGGCCTCAGAGGGAAGAAGAAGGAATAGTGGATGGAAGTTGGAGTCAGATTTAGAAAGGAGTGTGCTAGTAAATGTTAAACAACAAGCTCTTAAAAAACCCATAACACACTTTAAAAAAAATTATTTATTTTTCCCCATATCACAGTTTTAAGTTTAATCTTCGTCATTAAGATTCTCTCTATCACTTTCTTAAGTCTAGACAATCAGTCAAAAAATAAATCGTGTGCTAATTTGACGCCTTCGCCAATTGCTGAGGTGTCAATGCTGACATTGGACATTTAACAATGGGCTTTTACTCATCCAGGACACCCTTCAATTTAGATGTGATATACAAAGGAAAATCTAGCTAGCAACTAGAGCTGTCCAGAAGTGGAATGGGCTTCTTTGGGAAGTTGTGAGCTCCCAACCCAGGAAGCCCGAAGTCAGAGGTTGGATGAACTCTTGGCAGGTGTGTGTATGGGGCAATTTGTTTTTCAGATGTGAGACCACCAGGATTCCCTCTGAGGCCCCTTCCACCTCTGAGATGTCCTGTGAAGGCACGCACTCTGCAGGGTGCTTCCAGGGTAGGAGTACAGAGTCAGAACAGCTACTGTCTTCAAAGTACAATTAAATTGTGTTGTGAATGGAAAATTCATTCATTTAAAATAATACCTAAAATTTTTGCATGAGGAAAATTAGAGTCAGTAGAATTAGGCTGGAGTGAGTAAAAATGAAGGTTTCAGAGTACGGTACCTCTCTTTTCTGGTCTTTTACTGACATTTTGGAACAAAAAGCTGGGGCAAATTTAAAATTTGGGGCCACAAGCACAGTGAACCAAACCCTTTTCCTTTGAATTACAAAATAAACTGGTTTCTTGGGGTGGGGGCAACTGCTTGGATTTGCTTGCCTGTTTCTCCCATCCATTCTCCTCATACCCTGGGGTCTGCTGCAGCCTGCTCTAACCAGCCTACTGAAAGCCAACATTAAATTTTTAATGTGAGCAATTATACCTCAGAAATGGGTAATCTCTACAAGTTATTGCTTGTTTTGTTATTCTGTTGGTTATCTAGATTTAAGAAAATGTTAATAATACAGATTATGATGAAAAGAATGTATATACTTTCCTCCTCTGCCCTCTCGCACCCCCCCCAGCCCATTTGTTAAATATTCACCAGCACGCCTCTGTACTGCTCCATAAATATGCTGCTTGAGCTCAGCAGGAAGAGGGAAGAAGGCTCAAGGAATGGGCTCATCACCAGACTGGAGGCTGATAGTCATAATAATAATAATAATAATAATAATAATAACTAGCCTTTGTATGGTGCTTTGACATTGACAAAGTGCTGTATAGCCAGTGTCTCATTCGGGTCTCACTGCATCCCTGCCCATATTCCTTTGCTAAGTAGAGGTTGGGTGGGATTTATGCCTGTGGTCCTCATCCATTCCTAAGTATCAAGGAATGTTGTCATTTTAAAAGTTAACCAAGAGCTACCTATGAGTCATTTTCTTAGTTGGTTAGAGTTCCCTGGCTTAATGGGACAGGCACGTTCTTTGTACCCTGCCCCAATCAGACCCTGTCTGCAGAATTGTGTGTGGTCCTAGGTTGCAGTTACTCAACAAACGTTTATTAAGTGCTTATTGTGTGCCAGAAACTGTTTAAGCAGTGAGGAGACACCTACGCGCAGGCCAAACACCCCCTGGCCTTGAAGAGCTTAGATTCCCATGGGGGAAGATGATACCTAAAAGGGGAGCTAAAAAGTAGAGGGAGAGGGAGGGGCATCCATGCTGGGGCAAAGTGGCCAAGTTGGGAGCATGAGGATGGTTAGTCCAACCCTTTCCCAAAATGGAGGTTCTGAGAGAAATTCACCAATGGAAGAAGGACTTGGAAGGGGAAGAGTGAGAAGGCAGCTGAGGAGGGCAACCAAATGGGGAAGGACCTGGAGTCCATGATTCATGGTCAAAAGAATTGGGGATGCTCAGTCTAAGGGAGACTTGGTGGTGGTGCGCACACACACACACACACACACACACACACACACACACACACAGAGTAGCTGTTTTGTGGAAGAGGAATCAGTTTGTTTTATTTGGCTGTAGAAGGAAGAACTGGAAGCTGCAGACGGGAAGATTCAGGCTTCTTATAAAGAAAAAAATTCTAGCAATTAAATCTATGTGAAAGGAGATTGGGCTGCCTTGTGGGTCTTCCTTCACTGGGGATCTCCAAGCTGAGGCTGGACCACTTGTCCCGTATATTATAGGAGGAAACCTCTCTTGGTGACTGGTTGGTCTAAACAACCTGACTCCTAAGTTCTAAGATTCCTTCCATCAAACATGAATTCTGGCTTGTCCATTCCTGGTTATTGACAGGACTTCCCGTGGTCTTTAATTCGAAAATTCAGAAAAATGGAAAGCTTTTGCTGAACTGCAGGAAAAAAAACAAAACAAAAAAACTAGCATTGACCTAGAGCTTTGCCATGGACTTCCCCCTCTGAAAAAGGAGAGATGAATGCTGATTAGAAGACCTAGATAATGGAAAAAAGATGTTGGAGTCAGGGCACTGTTTGCCCAAAAAGCCTGGAGTTTTTATCAACATCAATTTGAGAGTGTGGGCTAAAGCAATGGAGAAACATGCCTGAGACTTGGCCTTCCCACCTTGATTCAAATGACTGTATTTATTACTTTCCATGTCTTAGTGAAGGAAAAACTGAAAGGCATTGTATGTACATCACAGCCTCCTCAGTCATACCTTCCATAAGCAAAACTGAAAATGAACAAGCAATTTGTTTTTCCACGATCAGAATTTTTAAAAAAAGAAAGAAACCAAGTTTCATGGCATTAAGACTGAAATCGATCAGCAGAGTCAAGGGTATTGAAAGCAAAGGAAATAACATTCTTCCTTAAATCACAAACTGCTGGAAACAGAGAAAGGTGTTTTGGACAGACCAGGAATCCCCTTACGCCCACTCCAAAACAATCTGTTTTCCCTGGTAAGCTCCCATATTAGTCATACTCAAAGATTACTGTATGTGCTGCCTTCACACACACATAACACACACAAATGTGAAGAGATTTGAACTGCATTTTCCAGAGGGTCCTTCATCTAGATTTTCTCACATCATTTTTAGAGCCTTTCTTGGCAAAGAGTCCTAACAACTCAGGAAAACTTTCCAGAGTTCAGATCGGAAAGGACTCAGACTCATCTTTTGCTCCTGTCTTGA